GTTCTGTTCCTTCTTTCTGCAACACCATTTTGTTGGGGTGTTCTGGCAGCAGAAAGCTGATGGAATGTGCCATTCTGATCACAGAAGTCTTTGATCACTTTGTTGACAAATTCAGTTCCTCTGTCAGATCTGATTGTTCTGACCTTCATATTTTTCTCAGTTTGGAGTTGCTTTAGCAGAGATGGTAACTTCTGAAGAGTTTCATTCTTCTTGGTTAGGAACACAGTCCAAGTATATCTTGAGTAATCATCAACCATAACAAGAGTATATCTTTTTCCACCAACACTGGGAGTTTCAACTGGTCCAAATAAATCCATATGGATCAGATTTAGAGGACAAGTAGAAAGATCTCCAGCTATGGGTTTGAATGAGGTCTTCACTTGTTTTCCTTTTTGACAAGCACTGCAGAGGGTCTCCTTCTTGTAGACAATGTCAGGCAGACCATCTACAATGTGTTCTCTTGCCAGTTTGTTGATGGTTTTGAAATTCAGATGACTAAGCTTCTTGTGCCAGTCCCAGCTTAGCTTTGAATTGTCCTTAGCTATCAGGCAAGTTCCATCTTTTGCTGTTTGCCAGTCAACAACATAGATGTTCTTCCTTCTCTTGGCTGTAAGAACCACTTCTTTGGTTGTCTCATGCTTGACATAGCATAAGGTCTTGGTGAATTCAACTGTGTAGCCTTTGTCACAGAACTGGCTAGCACTCAGCAAGTTGAACTTCAGACCTTTGACATAAGAGACATCTTCAATGATTATCTGGTTCTTGATCAGCTTTCCTCTTCCTTTTGTTTGGCCTTCCTTGTCATTTCCACCGAAAGTGACTCTGGGTCCATTGATTTTCTGGAACTCTGATAGGCAACTTTTGTCACCTGTCATGTGCCTGGAGCATCCACTGTCAATATACCATTCTTGTTCTGAGATGGCTCCAGCACACAGTTCCTGCAAGATTAAGAGGAAGATTTAGGTACCCAAGCAATGTTGGGTCCTGGGGGGTAATGCAGTCTTGGTAGTTGGTACCATTTTGGTCTCATCAACTGAAACCTTGGTGGATGGTACCCATTGTCCACCTGGTAGTTGTAGTAAACAGATGTATGATTCACTTTGGGCAGATGCTTGTGAGGGTCATGCTTTCTGTTTGCATACTTCTGCATAGCCTTCTTTGTTGGAAAGAAGTCCCATATACTATCAAGATCAGAGGAGCGCTTAACTTTAGACTCCTGAGGTTGACCAGACAACCTCTTCTGCCTATAGTTAATCTTCTCTTGATATCTGCCTTTCTGATAGCAGTTTCTGATACCATTGTCATGAGATTGTCTGATTGGATTAGGCCTTTGATTATTATTTTTCTGAAAGCTCTTCCTTTTGTTTGAGTTTCTGCCAGGTTCATTAGTTTTCAAACTGTGTTTTGGTTTGGCCTTTAGAGTTTGTTTTTCTGGTATGACTTTCTCATGAACAACTTTAGTACCAGAAGTACTAGCATGGCAAATGGGGCTCAGAGTCTGTGGCACTATGACCTTTTTAGCCTTAGCAACTTTGGTGCTAGGCCTTACAGAAGGCTCACCAGACTCTGGTTCAACATATCCAAGACCAGAGGTGAAGTTATGAGAGTCACCAATATTCTTCATGGAAGATTGCATCTTCAGAAGACCATTATATTTACTCTCAAGTCCTTCAATGTCTCTTATTCTTTTAAGAAGAGACTCATTTTCAGCCTTCAGTCTATCTCTTTCCTCAGTTAAGAGATTAAGTTTGCACTCAGTCTCTTTCCTTAGATCAGAGATATCAACTTTCAGCCTACTGTTCTCATCTTTAACAGAAGAATAAGTGGCCTGGATAGTTTGGAACTCTTCCCAAAATGATGACATTGGATCATCATTTAAGGCTGTGCCTACCGAAGAAGAAATAGAGTCAGAAGTAGAGCATACCTCATTATCTGATTGTGCCATGAGGCAGAGGTCTTCAGTTTCTGCATCCAAGCAGCAGAATGCTTCATCAGAGTCGGAGTCTGAGCTGGACTCTGATTCAGAGAGTGGATCTCTCTCAGCTTGTTCTGAGACGAATGCTCTTCTTCTTCTGTGTTGATCTTCTGGTTTCTTTTCTTCTTCATGTCCTTGTTTCTTGGACACTCTTGGATAGGGGCAGTTTGCTTTGAAGTGCCCAGGCTGTCTGCAGTTGTAGCAGAGGTACTCTCCATTGCTTTCAGAAGGTTTGGTCTTCTGATGAGGTCTTCTGATGGAAGATGGACTCCTTCCATCTTTCTTCATAAACTTCTTAAACTTCCTGGCAAAAGCAGCCATATACTCATCAGATAAAAGAGTAGAAGGGTCAAAGTCACTTACCTTTGAGGTGCTGGCAGTGAGAGCAGTGGTGGTCCTTTCATCAGGAACTTCTTCCTTCTCTTCATGCATCTCAAACTCATAAGCCTTGAGATCAGAGATGAGTTTCTCAGTGGCATAGGTCTTGATGTTCTTGCTTTCCTGGACTGCAATCACTTTCATCTTCCAAGCTGAAGGCAGTTCCCTGAGGATCTTCATGTTGACCTCTTTGATGGTGAGCTCCTTCCCAAGCTCAGAAATTTCACTGATGAGAATCAGCAGTCTCTCATGCATCTTAGCAATGCATTCTTCTGGTAGAAGTTTGAAGTCATCAAACTTCTTCATTGCAATGGTTAGCTTGTTATCTCTTTCTTGTTCATCTCCTGCTCCAATCTCATCAAGCTTGTCCCAGATTTCTTTGGCAGTTCTGCACTTCTTGATTCTGTTGAAGTATCTTTCATCAATAGCCTTGTAGAGGATGTCTTTGGCTATATTATCTAGATTGTACTGCCTCTTCTCTTCCTTGGTCCATTCTGACCGGGCTTTCTCAATCATCTGGGGCTGAGAGTTATCAATGGAGTGAGCAGGATTGATCTTCATGAATTGGATAAAGGGTCCATTCTCCAAGACTTCCCACATTTCATCATGAAGAGCACACAGATGTGCCTTCATTCTGATCTTCCAATCATCATATTTCTGATCTGTAAACATTAGATGCTTTGCAAGAGAGTTATCCATTATAATAAATAAAGAGGCTAAAAACAAGTGGATCTTTGTTCAGAGAGTAACCTAAAAGATTACAAGAACAAGGAGGCTCTGATACCACTTGTTGGTCCCGTTTAATATGGTAACCAGTCTAGAGGGGGGGGGGGGGGTGAATAGACTGGTTGGTTTTTCAAATTTTCTCTAAGTCAAAAGTGACTTATCAGAGAAGGTCTGATTCTGATGACAGAGATAGGCTGGTTCTGATGTCAGAACTGGCCTTGGCAGCGGATTCTGATCTGTCCGGGTAGCCTCAGAAACACTAAGGCAAATGCCTTTCTGATAACTCTTAAAATAAGATCTGCTGAACACAGATTCCAAGTCTTAGAGTTAATCAGTTAATATCCTAAGTGCAGAAATGAAAATTGCAGTAAAGTAAATGACACCGGATATTTTATAGTGGTTCAAGGAACAACTCGTTCCTCTAGTCCACTGTTCCACTAGCTTTGAAGTAGATCGGTTACAAAGCTTGTTTCCTAGCACTTAAGAAGTTCTCCACGCCTTCTTCAAGCCTAGCTGCCACCCAGGATGCAGTTCCACGTCCTGATGGCTGGTCCTTTCACTCAGCTTCCCGGAAGTATCACCACTTCACTACTGCAGTTACTTGGACGCCCTTCTTTTCAGAAGATCCTTTGAAAAACAGAGTTTTTCCTCCAACTTGCTTCGTCACAAATGATATGTAGTTGAAGTTCTTGAAGTGTTGAAGAACAGGATGAACTTTGCTCTTGTTTGGGGATGAGAGATTGTGAGATTGAATCTTCCCAGCGTAAGCTTTTTCTTGTTTTTGTGTTGTGGAGTTTGAATCTCAAGAGAGCTTGTAAAATTTGATGAGCAAAAGTTGTAGCAAAGTTATTTTTCTGTTCTTCGATGTGTAGCTTATATACTGAGGTTGTCTGCCCGTTGGAGGAGGAGGAGACAACTGCATTAAATGCGCCTACTGTTGACTTGACCGCCGTTTTGGAAGGTTTCTATTTTTATAATATATCTTCCCGGATTCTTTGGTCAATCATTGGCAATTAATCCTTCAGCGTATCAGGCTCATTTAATGTGCATTAAATGCTTTCCTTTCATGCACAGTTTTCTAGCCGTTGGACGTTTTACCCGTTGAATTCATAGCTGTTGGATGTTGCTTGAAATCCTCTAAGTGTTAGTCGGGCTCTGATCAGGCTCTTCTGATGTGTTGGATCATGTTTGCTTTCTGATGAGTTGAGTTCTGATGGCTTTCTGATCTCGGATAGAGCTCTAACTCTGACTCTGATATGTCCGCTGATGAGTACCTCTGATCTGTAGTTCTCATCGGTTATCAGATGTCCAAGTTTATCAGCAACTCTCATAGTGCAATTCTGATGGACTTCTGCTAAGAGAACTCTGATGGAGCAGTTCTCATAGAGCAAGTCTGGTCGAGCAGTTCTGATGCACTTCTGATCTGGTCCAAAATAGAGCAACTCTGATCGTCGACTACACTAAAACTTACAATTGAAAATTCTAATACATGAGATCTAATTTGGGGGTACTCTAATCTTCTAATCCTATAGCATCATCAAAATCTAATTACATTTATTCCTTACACTTAAGTTCATAATAATTTGAATATCTCAATTAAATTCCACATTCAAGTATAACTTGGCTCTAATATCAAAATATCACTTTTATCCTTCCATGACTTCCTTACATGAGGTAAAAGTATATTTATCACAATTTAGTTTATAGTTTACACAACTATTATACCATTGTATTCATAACACATAATCATACACAATTTATTCATAAATTTGTATATTATGCATTTTTGCTTATAAACAATAAAAATCTCATTTAGGCATTTTATTATTATAAATACATCTTGCCAAACACATATAATTCATTTAGGTAATCTTATGAAATTAACCCAATAATTATAAGCAATATAGTCGGTCATCCTCACCTTAAGTGAGCTTAAGCGTGTTCTACGCTCCGCGGTTGAACTTTGACTAATTCCGGTGAACTTTGACCAACTCCGGCCAACTTTGACCAACTCCGGCGAAACTCCGGCGAAGCTCCAAAGTACTTAAATCAAGTTCCTAACAAGGTTTTAACATCATAAAACCTTAATCAATACAAATAACCTCTAAAAGGTTATTTTCCGGTGAATCGGTCGTTTTGGCTTCTAAGTCCATTTTTGGACATAGAACCACCTTCCAACCCATTATTTCACACTTAGATCATGTAGAACAGTCCTCAAGGTTCTCCACATGATATATATCTCATATGGTAGAAGAAAAATAAAGGAGAAGCTATGATAAGGCCATTACCTCACTTTTCTCACTTTCCCCTAGCTTTTTCCTTCTCAAAACACCTTCTTTTGGGCTACTCCTTCTTGAGCTCGGTTCTTGGATATGGAGGATGAGTTTTCAGAGCTCTTTCTCCCCTTTTCCTTGGTGCTGGCCGAAGTGATTGAGTGAGGAAAGAGGGGGTGTGTTTCTTTTTGTTTTCTTTGGGAAATTATGGGGTGAGAGGGCCCCTTTTGATGTCAAAGGTGTCTCCCCCATCTCCTCAATAGTCTCCAGCCCACTTTTGGGCTCAATCAACCTTTGTTGGTTGACAATTTCGTGGGGTGGCCCCCACCCCTGTGGGAGGTCATCCCAATTTGTCCCGAAGTGTACAATTGGTCCCGAAAGTTGTATTTCTCGGACTGTTTTAAATATATTTTATTTTATCGGGTCAAATAAAATATATTATGTGCTCTTAATCATTATACCCTTTATAATGAATATACATTCCCAAACTTTAATTTATAATTCCCCGAAATCCGATTTCGGGCTTTTATCGGTTAAATTACCAATACCGGGATTTGGGCCTCTTTTGACCAATCGGTCAACTCTGGGCCTTTCCATTGCTCAAATGAGATTCCCACCACCATATAAATATTATCTAGACCAAGATGAATAAAATATATGGTCCCGGGAATATTGGGCGGCCCCCGCTCCCGGTGCGGGCCTCACGTGCGAATTTACGATTCACGCAAAAACATTAATAAAAATTCACAACTTCGAATATTCGTTAACCGTTCCATAAGGTTCAATACTTTATTCACTTAAAAGTAAATACATTTGGGGACGGTGTTACACCTAAAGTATCTAACACTAGATCTAAGGGACGAAAAGCAAAAGTTGCTAAGTAACCGAAGAACAGATGAAGAACTGACCTCGGATAGAAGGAAATGCTTGGGTTTGATCGAAGTGAATACTTTCTTTCACTAGAAAATTTGGCAGAGCTTCGCTATGGCTTAGGAACGCACAGGGAAAATGTCTCGAGGTCATGGGGTATTTATAGGCAACTGGGCCTCGAAAACTGGGTCTCGGTTTGAAAGCCCATCATTACGGGCCGCCGGTTCAACCAATGGATGGCTCCCGCCCACCTTCAGCCAACGCCAGCCAGCCACGTCAACCCCTCTTCCAAACGGCTATATTACAACGGCTATATTTCCGAAATACTGGGGTGCCCTCAGATAACAGCCTCCGGCCATCACCACGCAATGGCCTTCGGTGAACAACTTTTCACCAATTGCCTTCGAGTAGGCAGCAGTATAAGCCTTCGGTTTGTCAATGTTGCCACTCACCAGAATATACTTGGGCAATGGCCTTCGACTATCATCCATAGGAGCCTCCGGTGAACATATGTCACCTGACACCTTCGAGCAAGCAGCAATATAAACCTTCGGCTTATCAATGCTGCCACTCCTCAATCAGGGGCACCCCTCGGGATTACATATAAACATCATAACTCCTTCAGCCCAAACTCGCCTTCGGCCTAAAGGAGTGGGGGACTGGGATACACCCCTCGGGAATCACACAGAACTAAAAATTCCCACATGCAAAAAACCTATAAGAATGCATGTTGCCCTCGGGTACATACATCATTGCATCATTACACCCTTCGGATTACACCCTTCGGCAGAAGCAAAATATCAAAATTTCCCCAAGTCACTGACAATGATGAAACAGCCCCCCATCACAACACCTACAGATGTTATCTACACTTTCCTCAGAAAACCCTCGACATGTGAGGGACTGAGGCAAGCCTTCGACTAACGGCAGAAGACAAGTGATCAGTCAAAAGCACCCAACAAACAACGAAGCCTTCGGAAGAATCAACACAATTACTCCTTTTCCCTCAAGTACCTTTCAGCAAAAGGAGTGAGGGACTTCTGATGGAGTATATGGCCCAGGAACCCCCGACCCATAGACTCCTACTTCCCCCACAGAGGCCCATTGAGCCCAAGGAGCATCTGAGGCGAAAATACAGCGGCCCAAGTCTCAGAGAAGCCCAAAGTACGCACTGGGATGCCTTCGGCCTCCTTGGCCGAAGGCTCTAGAACTCACAGGATAGCCTTTTGTGGGCATACGAAGCCACCGGGAGAAAACGGCAGAAAACAGGAGCCTTCGGCACTGTTAAGCCCTCAGCATCAGGGAAGCCTTCGGCTGAACTAGGCTTTCGGCTATACAGAGCCCTCGGCTGCATGAAGCCCTCGACTGCATGAAGCCCTCGGCTGCATGAAGAGCCTTCGGCTCAACAAACTCAATCATCGAAGATTCCCTTTGGAGACAGCCAACCACCGCATTTAATGCGACGTCACATCCACCCACCGCATTCAATGCGGTGAACGTGCCACTGCCGGTGCCACCCGATTGATGTGATCCTTCGACCGTTGGATTACTGACACGTGTACTCTCATCGCATATATTGCTGCTATAAATAGCAGCCCATTTCTCCTTGTAAACGATCCAGATCCCAACACATCTCGAGTTCATTTAATAAAATCGACTCTCTCTCCTCCTATTTGCTCTGACTTCTCTCTAGTTATTCCCGCAATAACCCCTCGGATAAGATACCCCCCGGGTAGATTGTCCATCAACCACAATGCAAAACAACATGGTGCAATTCCAAAATGAGACCAAGTCTGGCATTTTAAACTTGGAAACTCAAGTGAGTCAAATACTCGGAGCCGTGAGCAAGCTTGAAATAAGGGATTCGGGAAAACTTCCCATTCAAATAGGACATGAACCTAAACAACAAACTTTTGCAATAACATTGATAAATGAGAAGGAATTGCAAAAGGAGGCCCAAAATCCAAAAGAAGAAGAAGAAAAAGACACGGAGCTCCAAGTGATCAAAGAAGAGGATCAATCGAGCTTCAAATTCAAATTTTTATCCTTGTCAACCTTTTAGGTGCCTCCACCATTTCTAGAAGCTTTGAGGGAAACTCACAAACTTGAAAAGGAAAATGACATTTCTGAAATCTTCATCAAAATTGAGGGATAAAAAAAAAGTTCATTGATCATGCTAAATGATAATTTATCCCCCTTACTCTCACCACATGAATCAGTGGAAATCTGGATATTTGATCCTATAAAGATTTCCAAATCGAAGATTTGGAAAATTGAGCATTCCTATGGAGTAAAAATGTGAAGAAGGTGAATTATCATGATCCAAGCTTGAAAGACCGAACACAATGATGGCGTCGTGCCACGACATTAAATAAAGCGCTTCTTGGGAGGCAATCCATGCAAGGTACATTTACTTGTCTTATTTTATTTTACCTTTGCACTTTTAACAAACAAACAAAAATATTTGTGAAGGCTTGGAGATCATACCCGGCCGAGTACCATCACACTACACCCGGTCGGGTATAGTGTAAAATCTGTATAACTGAGACACCACCCGGGTGATGCAAAGAGAATTTTTGAAACATATAGTTTACCCGACCGGGTACCATCAATTACCCGACTGGGTATTACCTCCAAACCGCCACTGCCTCCCTGGGACGACAACACGCGGCCGGGTAAACACACCCTACCCGATCGACAGGGTATGAGGAAAAGGATTATCACAGGCCTCTAGAATGCATAAACCGGCCGGGTAAACTCATCCACCCGGTCGAACAAAAAAAAAAGTCAAAACTTAACTGATACCCGACCGGGTATACGGTTTTTTGCCTATACCAGGTCGGGCACCTACTCTCTCTCCCCACTTCTCATCCAAATTTGAACATCTCTCTCGCAACCTTCATATCCAAACACAACAAACTCTAAATCCCAAAAAACCTCCATAACTACACAATTTCTTTTCTTTCTTCAAATTCACTTTCCATTTGAGCCAAATTTATCAAGAAACCCCAGCATTTTCATCTCTTCACCCCAACATTTTCCAGCTTGAACTTGCATTATTTTCTAAAACACTAGCAAGAAGAAAAAATAAATAAATAAATAAATAAATAAATAAATAAATAAATAAATAAATAAATAAATAAATAAATAAATAAATAAATAAATAAATAAATAAATAAATAAATAAATAAATAAATAAATAAATAAATAAATAAATAAATAAATAAATAAATAAATAAATAAATAAATAAATAAATAAATAAATAAATAAATAAATAAATAAATAAATAAATAAATAAATAAATAAATAAATAAATAAATAAATAAATAAATAAATAAATAAATAAATAAATAAATAAATAAATAAATAAATAAATAAATAAATAAATAAATAAATAAATAAATAAATAAATAAATAAATAAATAAATAAATAAATAAATAAATAAATAAATAAATAAATAAATAACAGAAAAAAATGCTAGTTAGGTTGAAAACCCAAAAGAGTTTTTTCCACTTTTAGTCATCCGACTATTGTGTCATTGACATTTTTGGTACTCGACTTTGATTTTTTCCATTTTTAGTCCTTGACTATTGCGCTAGAGACACTTTTGGTACCCGTCTTTGAAAATTTTCATATTTAGTCCTTCAACTTTCGTAAAAGTGACACTTTTGGTCCTTCAACTATTATAATTGTGACTTTTTTAGTCCTCCACTTATTGTGTCAAAATCCTAATGAGAGGACTAAAAGTGTCAATTTGACAATACTCAGGGACTAAAACTGTCTCTAGCACAATAGTCAAGGACTAAAAATGGAACGATTAGAAGTCGAGTACCAAAAGTGTCATTGACATAATAGTCGAGGGACCAAAAATGGCAAAAACTCAAACCCAAAACTAGGCAATCTAAGCAAAAGTGGCTAAAATGAGTGAGTTGGGAGAAGAAGGGAAAAAAAAGAGGCTAGGATGAAAACCCGAAAAGGCTCCTAAGCAGAATGAGAGAATGAGAGAAAATTTTATCTGAGTTTATACAAGAACTCATTTCACTTGGGAGTTTTTAAGATGCAAGCAATGAAAAGAATATTTGTTCGTAAATATCATGAAAACCCTCTTTCTTTGTAACCCCCCCCCCCTCACCCCCCTCCCCAAAACACACCAAACCACCCAGCCCAACCCGGGAAAATAAAAAAAATGAAAAAAAAATTAAAAAGCCCGAACCGGGCCCGGCCATGCCGGGTCAGTTCCTAATATTGGTGACCCGAGCCCGCCCAACTTAACCCCGAGCCGGGCC